TCTGTTCGGGTCCAAGCTTCATAGTATTTGAAAAGTTTATACTATTATCTGGTCGGGTCTAGGCTTCATAGTATTTTGAACGAATGAAGTTGACTGTTATCTGGTCGGATCCAGGCTTCACAATAACTTACTGAAGTTAAAATTGTTATCTGGTTAGATCCAGGCTTCACAACAACTTTCAGAGATATAAATGACTTTGTTGGTGACTTCACTGAAGATTAGGGGTTGTGGCCCTCTGGTTTGTAATAGTCTGAGAGGCAAACTCAAGCTGGAGAGGATAGACTCAGCCTGGGCAGATAGATTTAGCTGGGGAAATAAACCTTGTTGGGGAAATAAACCCTGTTGAGGAATACTTGACGAACTGCTGATGAGGTGAGTTCTTTTAGAAAGAGATCCACAAGGCTTCTTATTTTAGGATCAACTTAGCTAGGGAGAGAGCTCTCAAGAGATTGAGACTCTGGCTGGGGATCAACCTATGTAAAGATACTTTGTGAGCAACTCTGTTGGGGAAAGTTTTATTATAGCCGTCCTTGTGGGGATAATGCTAATGAAATAACTATGGGGATATTCCATATACATTAAAGAGATGCTTGTTGCTTCTTAGTAGGACACATGTGCCAAATAGTTTTAATCATGTTCATATTCATATGTTCGTTCAATTTTAGTCATTGGACTTCTTTGGATTCAAAACAAAAAAAAATAGAAAATTTGCACTTCCAAGTATATTTGTATTGATATTTTGCCCATGAATAGGCGTTTTTGCACAAAGAGACATAAATCCTAGTAAGAGGAAATCATTGAAAGGAAAACAAAATTGAAATCAAAGATAATATCCATGTGGAAGTGATCTCATTGCATTCCAACTCTACTATTTCCCCAATGTCTTCGAATGTCCTTTGCCGTTGACAGAAGTTGATTGGACTGATCTTGGACCGTTTGAACTTGGACCTTGGTAATAAAGTCGACTGTGGTGATCCCACAGGACATAGTCATACGCTTTCAATCCTTAACTTTTTCCTAGACCGCCCTTTCCAGTTTTCAGCCCACCAGGATACCCATTTTTGACCAAGTCGCCCTTTCGGGTTTTCAACTTGCCGGGTGTACAATCTTTTGCATATATCCCTAATTTTTGCCCAAACCATTTGGTTTGTCGGGATGCCCTTATCTTGTCTAGGTGTGTCAACCTAGCGGGTCTCTTATGCATAGTATTTTTTAACTATGTTCACATTTACAGGATGTGGGAAGTCTTCACCGTCCATGGTAGTCAGCATCGTGGCACCACCAGAGAAAACTCTCTTGACAACAAATAGCCCTTCGTAGGTGGGAGTCCATTTGCGCCTGGGGTCGCCTTGTGGAAGAATGACGCTCTTTATTACCAAGTCACTAGCTTGATATACTCGAGGCTTGATCTTTTTTTTTTAAATCCTTGATCATGCGTTTTTGGTACATCTGACCATGACAAACGGCAGCCAGTCGCTTTTCATCGATCAAGTTCAACTGATCCAATCTTGTTTGAACCCATTGGTCTTCTCCTAGGCCTGCTTCATTCATAATCCTTAGTGAGGGAATCTGAACTTCCACTGGAAAAACAGCTTACATACCATAGACCAAAGAAAATGGAGTTGCCCTAGTTGATGTTCTAGCTGAAGTACGGTAGCCATGAAGAGCAAACAGTAACATCTCATGCCAGTCCTTGTAGGTTACTGCCATCTTATGCACAATCTTCTTAATGTTTTTGTTACCCACTTCCACTTCACCATTCATTTTAGGTCTATAAGGAGAAGAATTGTGATGCTTGATTTTGAACTGAGTGCAAAGTTCTGTAATCATACCATTGTTGAGGTTAGTCCCATTGTCAGTGATGATCCTTTCGGGGATACCATAGCAGAAGATGAGGTTATGTTTGATGAATCTGGCTACCACGTTCTTGGTGACTAATGCAAATGAGGCGGCTTCGACCCATTTAATGAAATAATCGATAGCGACAAGAATGAAGCGATGTCCATTGGAAGCAGTGGGTTTGAACTCTCCAATCATGTCAATACCCCATATTGCAAATGGCCACGGAGCGGTCATGATTTTCAGAGGGATAGGAAGCACATGGACCTTGTCAGCATAGATTTGGCATTTGTGGCAAGTTCTTGAGTGTTAATGGCAATCAGTCTCCATCGTTGACCAATAGTAACCAACTCTCAGGATTTTCTTGGCCATAGTATGCCTTCCATCAAGAATGTCTTCCATAATTTTCTCTGCCTCCTTCTTGTCCACACATCGAAGTAGAGTAGAGTCATGGTTGCGTTTGTACAAGATTCCATTACTTAGGAAGAATTTAGTTGAGAATCTTCGTAAGAACTTTTTGTAATTGATGGATGCTCCTTCAGGGTACTCTTGTGCTTCAAGGTATCTCTTCACCTCATGGTACCATGGCTTTTTGGCGTCAGTGTCAAGCTCATAGGAGTGCGCAAGTTCGTTGAATCTCTCAATTGCAATCATAGGAGCTACGTTGTCCCATTTGACCTTGAACATGGAAGACATTGTTGCCAAGGCGTTGGCTAGTTGATTTTCTTCCCTAGGGAAGTGTTCAAATGTGATCTCTTCGAAATAAGGAATCAAAGATAGCACAAGATCCTTGTAAGGGATGAGATTAGGGTGCTTGGTGTCCCAATCTCCTTTTACTTGGCTGATCACTAGAGTGGAATCCCCAAACACATTCAAATGCTTAATCCTTAAATCAATGCAGCCTTCAAACCCAAAATGCATGCTTCATACTCAGCCATGTTGTTCGTACAGTCGAAGCATAATATGGCAATGAAAGGAGTGTGGAAACCTTCAGGGGATATGATCACAACACCAATTCTGTTACCTAAAGCGTTGGAAGCCCCATCGAAGACCATAGTCCATCGGGATCCTTGTTCAGGTCCGTCATACGGTCCAGGTTTCGTGCAGTTGGTCACTAGCATGATGTTCTCATCCGAGAAGTCAAAGTTCATAGACTGATAATCATCAACATCTTGATGGGCCAAATGATCTGCTAATACACTTCCTTTGATGGACTTTTGTGTTGTGTATTGAATATCCTACTCAGTCAATATCATTTTCCATCTAGCTATCCGTCTGGAAAGAGCAGGTTTCTCGAAGATGTACTTGATATGGTCCATCTTAGAAATCAGTAGAGTGATATGAGTCAACATATACTGTCATAGCCGAAGAGCAGCCCATGCCAGAGCGCAACAAGTTTTCTCGAGCAGTGAATATCTGGTTTCACAGTCAATAAACTTTTTGCTCAGGTAGTAAGTAGCATGCTCTTTTTGGCCAGACTCGTCATGTTGGCCCAAAACACACCCTATAGAATTCTCTAGCACTGTCAAGTACATGATTAAGGGTCTTCTTTCAACTAGAGGCATGAGAATAGGAGGTTCTTGCAGATATTCTTTGATTTTCTCGAAAGCAGCTTGGCATTCATCATCCCATCTGACTACTTGGTCTTTCTTCAAGAGTTTGAGGATTGGCTCACAAGTAGCAGTTAAGTGAGATATGAAATAGGCGATGTAGTTAAGACGACCCAAGAATCCTCTAACTTCCTTTTTAGAGTGGGGGACTGACATTTCTTGGATGGCCTTTACCTTGGCAGGATCGACTTTAATGCCTTTACCATTGACAATAAAACCTTGAAGCTTTCCAGATCGTACTCCGAATGTGCATGTAATACCCCAAATTTGTCCTACCCCTTGTTCTTTTATCTGGCTTACGCGTCTTGCATTTTTCTCATATACATAACTCCCATTAGGTCATTTGACAACACCATTCATTCATTAATCAATAAAATGTGGCATGTGATCAAAGATTCCAAAGAATTAGGGTTTCACTCAGGCATGAGTGTTTCATCTCTTTGCAACCTTATCTTAACTAAAGACTCAATGGCTACAACAAGAGCGTCTAAGGTCATCTTCATGTGCTCATCATCTCCATAGGGATTAGAGTTATTTTTCTAATCACGTGGAATCCAGGAGGGATCCATGAAGTTTATTCATCAGTTCATCTCATTATTAAAGAGTTTCCATTAGCGCTTAAGGTACGATATTACAGAAGAGATCTTGGTGTATTCATGGCATCTTAAAGTTTTTCTTCAGTATGCAACACGAGGAAGCTATCATTGAAGAATTCTTATCCATTGGAATCTAGGTCTTCTATTGGTTTTTATTAAGGGAGGTTTGCTTATTGGTATTGAATCATAGAGCGTATGGCTAGGGTGTTCATACAAGAAGATGGAAAGATAGTTTCACTTGGGTTTTATTCATAATTTAGGGTTTGTGGACATCAATGTGAGATATGATCTCATCTGAACACTTGAGTTTACTTATGGCCTAAACTTTCCTTGAGACTCCATTTCGAGTGCTTTGAGATTAAAACCTAGTGTTGTCTTGTGAAACATCAGAGTTTTAGATTAAAAGTCCTAGAAATAGTCAAGCCCATTCAATTACTTAAGGATACTTAAAGGCGGTGATTCATTCCATTGTTGAAAAGTCAAGGCGTGGAAATACATAATTGTCTATTCAAGTGCAATTATAAGAGAAGACATTAGGAATTCACGATAAATCTGAAAGGAATACCACTTTTAATATTTTGAAGAATGTATCATTTGGATTCAAGGGTTTGTAAAGTATGCTTCTTTTACAAAATCCAACACCTTGTTCATTATGACTTCAAGTTCTTTTCACTACGAGAAATTTAGTCTTATCAACGTTCCGATTACATCTCATACATCAATATTTCAAAGGAATATAATAATATTCCAAATCCCTTAAACCAATACAAGATCAATACCATTACATATGTCCATCTCCTTTACATAAGCTACATAGAAACTACTAAGAGCTACAAATTATACCCTATGCTAAAGCTATCCTAAATCTTCAAGCCTCGCTTCATCTCACAAGCTTATGTGGCTCCATTTTTGGGTCATTCTTCAAATTCTAGTTATGTCTCATGTGTCCAAGCTGCTATGATATAAATGGAACCTGCAAAAATATTGAATAAACTGCCATAACCATTCCATAACCTGTAACAGTAAACCAAAACAGAATCCCTAACTGTCCCAAAACCAACCAACTGTCAAACACATTCCCTAACCATTTTCTAAACAGCCCTGCACATAAAAAAGTTTATAACAGAATAACTAACAAACCTATAACCCGCTAACCAATCATAACTACCTTCTAACATCACCTAACCATTCTCCATCAATAGCTCCAAACTACTAACTTCCCAAACTGCAATAACCAAAAAACAGAATTCACAAACAAAAAACAAACTTCTAACAGATTCATAACTAACTTAACCAATCCCTAACAGATTCATAACAAACTTCCTAACCACCCCTAACAAACTTCCAGCAGAGCTACAATAGAAAGACAACAGAAACAGTTACAGGGGGATTCATTCACGATTTTTTAACAGGGAATTAACTCATAACCAACTGGCAGATAATAGAAAATGGGGAGAAGAAAATAGAAGGAGGATCATAATTCAGATTCATCCACCATAACTTATTAGAAAATCACAATCAGAAAAAGGGGCAAGATATAGTAAACTCACCAAAAGATCCTTCGCTACTCTCTCTATTCCATCACCATCATCCTTCAACAATCGTTTCCATTCTCTCGGAATTTTCATAAAACCACAATAACTTGCTGCAACCTCAATCATCACCACCTCACTCTCTCTGAGAAATTCGCTTCACCAAAATCTCCAATCTTTCTGCAATCATCACCTCATAATATCTGCTCTCTCTTTTTCTTCAATTACCTTCATCATTAATGATATTCATCATCGTCTGCAAATCTTCACAGAACTTGCAATATTTCGGCATTGCTTCTTCATCCTTCAACATCAACTTCTCTTCTCCACCTCCATAATCAAGCACATCTCTGAATCTTCCATCATCATTTTCTACTCTACATCACTGCAAGAAAATAGAAGTCGCCAGAGCATCAATGCAACCTCGTTTGCTTTCCATAATCTTCAACTCTTCACCGCAAAGAACAACGATCATAGTGCATCATACAAATTCAGAACAACGCAAAAAGATTCGAATACATAAGAGAATAGAAGAAGGAGAGCACATGAGTGATTACCTGAGTAACTTTCTGGTTTTCCGTTTGATAGAATCTGTAATGACGAGAAGGAAGAGGTCACGATAGACCTCGAGGTTGAAGCTCGACAAAGGAAACGGAGAAGAAGTTTGTGGTGATAGCGCCTTCTGAGTTCGAGAGAAGAAGAGGAGACAGAAATCTGAGAGGAGGTTGAAGCGAGCGGAATTTGGGAGATATTGAGATGGCGGAACAATCGAAGGACGAAAGCGACCGACAGAGACTGACCAAAATTCTGGTGACGGCGAATCAACGATGGATTTGAGTCGGTGCCATGAGAGAAGCAGAAGAAGGTGAATCCAGAAAGCTTGAACAGAAAAGGTGACGGCGACATGGATTTCGTCGTAGAAGTTGAGTCAAGAAGAAGAGAACTGCCGTCGCTGAATCGCAAAAGAGAATAAGATTCAACTCACGTGTTCAGAACCCTAATCTTACGATTCCCCTTTTCAAATTTTCTTTTTTTTCTTTTGTCATTTTATTTTTATTTTTATTAAAATGATGAAAAATAAAGAATAAGCCAAATAACTGAAAGCTGGTGGATTATTGTTGATGGATCTTGGGCCGAATTGCTTGTCTTGGGCCCATTTTCATTGTTTTTGGCACATATCATAGCTAGTGTTACAAGAAGCATTGCTGGACTATACCCCCTGTATCCAGTTAACACCCCCTGACTTTTCTAATCTCATTAATATTTTAGTTTTTCTTCTAGTTTAATTTTTTCCTCTTAATTGATAATAAAAATGATACAAAAATAGTAGAATATTTTAGGAAATATTTTTAGATTCTCTTTAGAATTTTATTAGAATTTTTTATTATTTCCATGTTTAATAATCATTTTTGTTGTCATTTTTAGTTAAGATTTCGTGATAGTATTGATATAACTTTCGCGATGGAAAATGCTTGGAGATTAACTTTTGATCACTCATGCGGAGCAAATTTCGGTAGAGTCTTCTTATCACTTGTGTGACTTTGAAGAGGCAACGGGCCTTCTCCATTCGGTATCATTGTGACCTCATTTTGTTCCTCATCTTCGCACCTTATTGCTTTCTAGAAACCATGAGAAACAGGGCTTTACCGTAATCCATGTGCATGCTAACATTAGGTAGAAATTCCCCCTTTCATCCAAATCTTAGGACCACCATTGCATGATAACATTAGGTTTAGAAATAGGCTAGTCTCCTTTTAATTTTTCTTTCCCTTTTGCATATGCATCTAAAACTAAAACTCTTTTTTTCAAAAATTCAAAAAACTTTAAAAACTACTGATGGGGATCACGCCTTCGTTTAGTATGGGAAATGATAAGCGGGTCTCTTCTCGATCTTATTGTTCTTCATCTCAAGTCTAGGTGTGGTTCAATTCTCAAAGACTCCTTTCATGGCTAAGTAGAAAAGTGGCTAATATCTCTCTCTTGAGGTCGACTAGTCATTATCAGCAATAAAATACAAACCAACTCAAACCATTTTGTGCGCTCGAGCATTTTTCTTTAAAACCCTTTTCAAGTAAGGACACGATTAATTTACTTCTGTGCCAATGCATAAGTCTCCAAAGGTCGAGCTGCGGCAGAAGGCGGGATTAACTTCGTCCATAAAAAAACACAAACAAACAAAAACATATGAGCCGAACTACGGTAGCTCTGATTCCTCAAAACGGATACGTAGGCATTGGGGTAGGGCCCAAGCGAGCACAATTTTATTTTCCCTGCATTTTCCCCCCTTTCTTTTGCATGCATTCTCCCTCCAGTAGTATAGTAAACAATAAGCATAGATTAGACACACCCAAAGATAGATAACAAGAGTGGATACCGTAGAGTACTACGGGCGTGTGGGGTGCTAATACCTTCCCCTCGCGTAACAGACTCCCTTACCCGATCTCTCGGTTGCAAGACCATGACTTCTTTCTTCTCAGGTTTTCTCGATGTTTACCTTTCCCTACGTACGGGATAAAATAAGTTCGATGGTGACTTCATTGTTTGATGAGTTTCAGTCGGTTGTTTCAGTGCACTTATTAGGGTTCAACCTCAACTTATACTTTTTCAACCTCTCGAATAGCTTGTACAGGTGATCGAGATGTTCTTATTCAGTATGTGATCTTGCAATCATAGCATCCACATATACCTTTATCTCATGATGTATCATATCATGAAACAAAGCTACCATAACCCTTTGATATGTTTCCCCTGCATTCTTCAACCCGAATGACATGACCTTGTAACAAAAAGTGCCCCATTGTGTAACAAAAGTGGTCTTCTCCATGTCTTCGGGAGCCATCCTAATTTGATTATAGCCGGAGAAACCATCCATGAAAGATAAGACTTTATGCTGAGCAGTGTTATCGACCAAAATGTCAATATGTGGTAGAGGGAAGTCATCCTTGGGGCTTGCCGTATTCAGATCCCTATAATCTATGCACATGCAAACTTTTCCGTCTTTCTTCAGTACTGGCACCACATTTGCAACCCATTGGGGATAAGATGTCACAGCTAGGAATCATGCATCAAATTGTTTCATCACTTCATCTTTTATCTTTTCAGACATGTCAGGCCTCATGCGATGAAAATTTTGTTTGACAGGAGGACAATCTTCCTTTGTCGGCAGGCGGTGAACTATAATGTCGGTATCCAACCCTGGCATATATTCATACGACCAAGCAAACACTTCCATATAATCATGCATCATCTGAACCAATCAGCTTTTGACACTGCTTTCTAAGTTAGCGTCGATCTTGACCTCTCTCTTTTATGTCTTGGTACCTAGATTGATGACTTCAACCGACTATTCGTGCGAATGCATAGCTTTTTCCTCTTGTAATAGAAGTCTGGCTAGTTCTCCCGGTATTTCACAATCTTCCCCGCCTTCATCTTCGGCTTGGTTAATTGGACGTTCAAAGTCATAGTCGGTGATAGTAGAGTCATTGGAAATGAAATCCAGAGTGGATAAGGACCTGCAAGTGTGTGTGTGTGTGTGTGTGTGTGTGTGTGTGTGTGTGTGTGTGTGTGTGTGTGTGTGTGTGTGTGTGTGTGTGCATGTAAGACACATGGCTACTTTGAAAAAATGTATTGAAGAAAAAGAAAGACAATGAGAACAAAAGTTCGAATGAAAAAAAGTCCAATGGTTTTTATTGAATGATCATATGATAAAATGAACATAAATAAAAACCTTTACAAATGGACCATAGTGCCACGGGCTAGGCACATGGCTTAAAAGTCATTATTTAATATTACAGACAAAATGTTCTCGAATTAATATAAAGCAATAAACAAGTAATTAATCCTCAATGAAGGAGATAGGAACGAAGTCCTTTGCGTTCCAATTGTTGAGCTTTGTTGTGGTAGGGTATACCCATTCTTCAAATGCACACTCATCATCATAATCCTCCACAGTGTTAACTTCATGACTTCCAATACGGAGAGGGGGCTTTCCTGCACGAACGCGCCTTACTTCTTTCTGAGCCTTGATAGTGAAACCCAAACCACATTTGTCTGCTTTGAATGGGATCCCGGGGAGTTGCCCCCAAGTATCATATCTTCCTTCTTCGACTGCGGCACGAACATCTCTAAACGAAACCATCTTTGGCACGACCTTAACAACTTTGGACATATCAAAGGAAAATTTGGCAGTAGCAACCATTGGTGGCATAACTTCAAAAGCCTGACACGAGGTTTCTATAAATTCTCCATCCATCTCCACATATTTAAAAGAGTTGAGGTGGCTTACCATGAACTCCTCCTCACCACAGACAGTGACAATCCTTCCTTTGACCGGGTACTTGAGATTTTGATGAAGGGTTGACGTTACTGCCCCTGCTCCGTGGATCCAAGGGCGACCCAACAAACAGGAGTAAGCAGGACTAATATCCATGATGTAGAATGTAGAGTTAAAAATCTATGAGCCCACCTTGATCGGGAGATCCACCTCTCCATGAACTATCCTTTTGGACCCATCGAAAGCCCTCACAATAATATCACTTGGTTTCAAAACTAGTCCTTCACATTCTAAATGGTCCAAATTCCCCTTGGGTAGCACGTTTAAAGAAGAGCCAGTGTCAACGAGAGCATGTTCTAGGGTAGTCCCCTTACATTCAACATAAACATGAAGAGCTTTATTATGGTTCTTTCCTAGTGGTGTCAGATCAGCATCTGAGAACCCCAAACCATTGCCGACCATCAAGCTTGCCACATAATTTTCAAACTGGTCAGTTGTGGTCTCATGAGGCATATGAGCCTTCTTTAAGAATTTTATTAATGCCCGAGAATGAGCATCGGAACAAAGTAGCAAAGATAACATGGAAATCTTGGAAGATTTTTTCCCCAACTGCTCCACTATCTTGAAATCACTCCTTTTTATAATTTTCAAGATCTCATCCATTTCTCGAGCGGAAGGTTCCTTAGCAGAAATGTCTTTTGCAGGTATTTCTGTCTTGACAGGCTTAACAACTTTCTCTTTTCCTCCTGTGTCAACATTAGGCTTAGCAGTGGTGATGCGGACAGGTGCCTTTGTAGCAGTTGGTGGTGAGATGTTGGGTGAAAAGATTCTCCCATTTCTGGTCACCTTACTAGAGCCAGTAATGTTACCAATGTCATCAGCTTTGCTTCCTTTAATCCAAGCATCTTGCTTTATTCCATGGTAAAACACCTCATCACCATAGTTCCACGACATTGCTTTGTTGGAAGAGTACGAAATTGGCCCGTGGGTGGTAATTATCAGAGGAGAAATAGTCGGTTCATTTGAAATCCTGATAGGACCCTTGGAGGAGATCCTAAGAGGCTTGTTTGAGATTGTTATGATGGAGAGGTCTTCAAAATTATTGGCCAAACTTTTGGCGGATGGAGTCTTCTCAAATAGGATCGCATGGCTATTCATCAGACGTTGAATTCCTTCCTTCAGCCTTTTGCATCCATTGAGTTGTTTGGCACAACAATCACAGTCCTTCAAACAGCCAGGGAAAATCCTAGCTTTCAACAAATTCTTTTTGATAATGGTTAACGGAGTAGTCAAGTCTTCGACGGAGGAAACAAAAATGGTGTCTTCCACAGCATTAACACCCTTGCCATGATTTGGCATAGGCGCGATGATTACATTAGGAGTTGGAAGAGGATAAAATTCAATGGTCTTGTTGCCTATTAAGTCTTGAATTTTATTCTTCAGTGCCCAACATTGGTCATTCTCATGCCCGGGACTATTCGAGTGATATGCACACTTGGTATTCATATTATATTTAGGTGAAGAGGTATCTGGATTGGCTGGAGGATCACACAGTGTCACGAAATTAACCTTTAACAGGTGTTGTAAGGCTTGGGATAGTGACATGCCTATCCTTGTGTATTGTCTTCACGGA